TTGCAGTTGTCCAACAGTGGCAATATTAATGATATACATGATCATATCTCAATCATACAGCATCACAAGAGCTTAAAATCTAAATACACAAGACAGACAAAGGGTAGGAGGGTTAACAGAAGCATAGAGAGGGAAAGCAACTTGCCCAAGGTCATACAGTAGGTCAGTGGCAGAGCCATGACTAGTAGAAACTCATGTCTCCTGAGACCAGTGCCCTTTCCACAGGCCCATATTGCCTTTAGGGTGAAATTCACCCTAGTGCAAAATGCATCAATTAAGCCTTATTTTAAGGGCATTAGTTGTGTTTATACCCTTGTATGGGTCCTCTACACCAGAGTGAATTTCACCCTCAGTTAGTATTAACTGACAACACTTATATCGTCTGTTACTCCCTTTACACTCTGTGTTACATACAGCAGGTGGCTACCTAGGCAGGTAGGTGTGTAGCATGCAACAGGTGTGCTGCCTCTGGATATAGCATATGCAGCCACCTCTGGGCACCACGTGCAGCAGGTGGCCTGGAGCAGGGCTGAGAAAGGAGAGCCATGCATGGTGGTTTGTCAGTGTTATTTCTGAATGGGTTGTCAAGGATATAAACCGTTCTACTTCAGGGCATATGCCAACCTCTGCATGGGGGGCGCATGGTCAGAAGGAAACTTCTTCTGTGTGCATCTTATTCCATAGTTGGCCACATCTGGATTTCTTGCACCTTGCGCTGAAGCAGCGGTGCTGGCCACCCTCGCAGACAGGATACTGGACTGGGTGGCCCAGTGCGCTGCTCTGCCCTGGCAATTCCAGTGTGAATGGAACAGTGCAGCCTTCTCCTGTTGGGCGCATTCTAGGCTGTGTCTGAGCAGAAGGCTCTGGAGTAGCAAATATTAATCCCGTGACTCCCAGGGCCAGCACTTAATTGGGTTGAAGCTGAGTATAAGGGAACACGATAGGCTCTCCCAGGCCTATTGACTTTCCTCAAGGAGGAAGAAAACAAACCTGTACAAGTCTGAGTCAGGCTTTTATTGAAGAAGGTGAAATAAGGCAGGAATGTAAAGGGGCGCGGGGGGGGGAGCCTGCAGGAGGGACAGCAACTGCCATAGAGCTCAGCTTCCCCTCTCTCCTCCTTTCTGACAAAGCTGACTCTCCCCACCTGGGTTAGAGACACTACAGTTCTGTGCCTTGCAGTGAAAAGCAATTAGCACTCATAATTAGCTCTTCTGGGGGCTGATCCAAAGCCCACTGCAATCAATGGGAGTCTTAGAGTGGGTCCACATAACACTTTTATTACACAGCAGGTATATTACACAAATTCAGTACAACAGAATCTTCATTCTCCCTCCCAGCAGAAAGGTAGCCTCTCACTTTTTCAGTTGGAGCAGGGGCAAGAGAATTGGGGTTTCTAATTGTTTTATATGCTCTGAGAGGTTCACAAAGTGGTGGGTTAGATATGGACAACACAGCTACTGTGTGTGCATTGCCCATAGGTTCCGCCCTTAGCTTCTTTGCAGTAATTCTCCTGCATCCTTGACCTGTGTTTTAGTGAGAGGGGCAGGTTGACCAGGTTCTCTTGATTGGCCACAGACTGATTGTCCCATGAAATTCTGCCAATGTATAAATGCCAGAGGTGCAGAAAAGTTCCCACATCACACCAACATTGTTTTTCCTTCCGCCCAGTTCTTCACACAAATGCCTTGAGGCATCACAAAGAAGCAAGGCCACCCTGTCCCCAGCCCCTTATGGAGATGGGGACAATATATGTGGATGAGCAGCTGAGGGGATGCTTAGCAGCTCTGAGGACATAATACATTTTCTGCTACAGCCTCTTGGACTGTCCCTCTGAGTTTCAGCCGAAGGTCGATGCACCATTTATGCCCTCAGCCTATGAGATTTAAGAGCACCTTGGTCTTCTGCAGCAGCCACCTCGCCCATAGAACAGGTGACATGCAATCTGGGAGAAAAGTTCCATTAAATCCCCTCACCACACAGAGGCCTCACTGGCAAATTTGCACTCACCCCAGCAGGCTGCTCTGATGGCTGACAAGACCAACAGATGAGCACCTAGAATGGACCTCTCTTTATTTTCCTGATGTTTGCAAAACTCCTTCCCTAGCCTACTGTCATGTGCTCATGTTCTCCTTCCCCTAGCACATTGCCTAACCAAACCCAGACTCCTCATGGAGAAATGAGGAAGGAGCTGCTCTGTCTACGCACACTGTGATTATGCCCAGAAGGCCTGAAGCCAACATGCCCCTAGTCACTACAAGCAAAAACTGTGGAAAGGGCATGCAGAAGCAAAGGGGCACAGTAGAGAGTGGACAGTGCCAAGTTAAATTGGTTCAAAACCCCTCCATCCCTCTCAAACCAAAGTAACATACTTTTAAATTAGTTCCTCTTTAGATAACAGGTATGTTATAAAGTGGCCTGCAGCCATGACTACTCAAGTTAGGATCTTATCATCTCTTAGGCAAAGAAGGGCTAGACTGATTAGATTTTCCTGGGGGGGTGGGGGTGGAGGGAGGATCTCTGTGACACACTGTACCCTTAAGTTCACCATTTTTACAAAACTAGGATACATTTTGTACAAAGTATGCCTTGTGAGATATATGAAAACTTATAATTCACTGGTCATTGTTGTCCTGGTAAAATATGTGTGGCAACATTGCATGTAAAGTTATAAGATCCTACTGCATGATGTTACTAAGGCATATTGCAAATCTGGGGAAGCAGCCCAAACCAGTTCCTCAGAGGCAAACTGATGCCTAGGCCAGGTATCAACAAAATCAGATGGACTATGGCCTCGTTAAGTGGCCATTCTTTGACAGCAAGAAGGGTGTGAGTGAGAAATTTACATTTTAGTTGGATCCCATGTAAACAGACCGGCTGTCACTTGAACCCCAGCTGGAGATGATTTTCAAAGAGAAGGAAAAGATATAAAAATGAGGAACAGAGGACACAGATCAGCTCTCTTCCCTCATCTCTGTTCAGGGCATCAACAACATTTGAAAGACAAAAGAAGCATCATTGAACTGGGGGACTGGTCTTGACTGAAAAATCCAGCCAGACTTCTGTGAGCATGTGGTGAGAAAAACCTTTTTGCTTCAAGTTCACTTAGCTTGTTAAGGTAGGTGTTAGTTTGCATTTTACCTTTTATTTCTTTGTAACCAATCCTGACTTGTATGCCTCATTACTATAATCACTTAAAATCTATCTTTCTGTAGTTAATAAACTTGTTTTATTGTTTTATCTAAACCAGTGTGTGTTTGTTTGTAAACCTCCATTTGAGATAACAGACTTTGTGCATATCATTTTCTATTAATAAAATGACAGATTTTCTATGAGCTGGTACTCAAAGAAGGGAAGAGGTGGGCTCTGCACTATCAAAGAGATGCCAAGACTTACCCAAGAGGTGGTTGTTTTTCAGCAGTGGGGAAAACTGATTTCAATATCTGTAAAGTTTGTTGCACCACTTTTAGGATGCAAATTGCTACTTTTCAATGTAAGGCACAGTTGTTTATTAAGAAAATGAATAATGATAGACTGTTAATCCACTGAAGAAATGCACACATCTGACATAATACATGGGACTTCTTAGCACATATATAACACCAGGTTTCAGAGTAACAGCCGTGTTAGTCTGTATTCGCAAAAACAAAAGGAGTACTTCTGGCACCTTAGAGACTAACCAATTTATTTGAGCATAAGCTTTCATGAGCTACAGCTCACTTCATCCGATGCATACTGTGGAAAGTGTAGAAGATCTTTTTATATACACACAAAGCATGAAAAAATACCTCCTCCCACCCCACTCTCCTGCTGGTAATAGCTTATCTAAAGTGATCACTGTCCTTACAATGTGTATGATAATCAAGTTGGGCCATTTCCAGCACAAATCCAGGGAACTCAAGTGACTTGGTAAGGTATGGAACTATTAATTAAGCCATTTAACAGATGGGGAAACTGAAGCGCTGTGTTTATGGGACTTGCCCAAAGTCACATTAATTCAGGAGTCCTGACTTCCAGTCATCCACTTTAACCTCTAGGCCACACTGCCTCCCACAAAGGATACAGACTTTTAATGTCACAAATGAAAACATCTCTCCAAATGCTAATCCAGCGCTGAACATTGTTTTGTCAATGTGTGTGTGCACAGCACATTCCCAGCTGTCCGGGTAGAAGATGTATTTCACTAAACATTGGCTTTCTGTTCCTTACTCCAGTCTGCAGGGATAAGCAACATGTGTACAGTTATTAAATACTTTCTGGCATATTTGCAAAGGAGGAAGAAAGGGCAGAATTGAGAGAGAATTTACAGCCAATGTACCAAGTTTGATAAGGGAAAATAAAGCAGCCCGTCCTCTGTAAACATAATCCATGAAGCTGTGCTTCATAACCTTACATGGCAAAACAAAGATCATATTAGAAAAAAATCATGATGTAAAATTATGAAATCTTGTCAGCTTCATTTGTAAACATCATGCTGTCATGGTCTCTCTGCCTGGTATGCTCATTCTCTCCCTGTTCCTCTGTCTACATTATTATTTGTATTGGAGTTGCACCTAGAGGTCCCAACTGAGATCAGGGTTGTTTTGTGCTAGGCATGGTACACACCAGAAGTGAGAGACAGGCCCTGCCTTGAAGATCTTACCGTCTAAACAGATGAGTCAAAGGAAGTAGAATTACCTCAGTTTTACAGAGGGAAAACTGAAGCAGAGAGAGATTAAGTGACTTGCCCAAAGTCACAAAAGAATTCTGTGGCACCGCCAGGAACAGAATACAGATTGCCTGACTCTCAACCCAGTGCCTTAACCATAATGCCATTCTTCCTCTCAGATCAGTCTTCCTGTACACAGAGATCCATCCATCCACTTACTTCTGAAGAGTCAGTAGATTTACAGATATTGGGGGCTTGACTGTGTCCCAGGCTAGGAGGGGTGTCTTTTGTGGGAATGGGGGAGGGCGCTAGGTAGCTACCCCAGAGACAAGGAAAAGGCAGCGAGCCTGCAATGAGGAGAGGGGAGATCCCAGCCCCCTGGGGATTGGGGAGCGGCCCGTCCCTCCTGGGCGGAGCTCTCTTCTCCCCCGCCGCAGACTGTGCGCGCCCGGGAGCCAGAGCGCAGCCAGCCGGAGCCCGAGCGCGGCGGCCGCGGAGCATGGTGCGGGCAGCGCCCTGAGCCCCTTCCCCGGCGGCAGCATGAGCTTCTCGCGGCCCCTGCGGCGCTCGGTCAGCCTGAGCCAGGCGCGGACGCTGCGGCTGGTGGTGCTGGGACAGGGCGCCGTGGGCAAAACAGGTAGGGACCCTGCCCGCCGTGCGCCCGGGGGGCCTCGGACCCCCCCGCCCTGCAGGGCAGCGCCAGCCGCCTGGCCAGGCAACTTCCCCGCTTCCTCCCGGCTTTGCCGGACGGCGGAAGCGGGAAGCCAGGCGGGGGAAAAGGCTCAGGCCGCCCGTGGTCACCCCGGGCTGACTGTGCCCTGCCTGCGAGGCTGCCTGGACCGAGATCCCGGACACGGGCCTGAGATCAGCGCCCCCGGGGGCCCTGGGCAGTCAGGCTCCCCCTGGCGCCCCAGCAGGGATTTCCCCACCCCTGGTGCCGTCAGGTTTGGCAAGTGGGGTGCGCTTTGTCACCCCACCCGTCGTGTTTTGCATAGCACCTTCCCGCCAAAGCCCTCAGCCCAGCCGGTGTGTTATGGGCTTCCCTTGCCGACACGTGCACTGGGGGCGTGAATAGATCACTTGCCCCACGCCTGAAATGTTGCCGATCAGATGCTTTCCACGGCCGCTCGAAACAGGGCAAAAACCGGGCTCTGTAAGGGGGTGGTCGGGCAGGCAGGCAGTCCTGGCTTCTAAAATCAGCCTTTGCAAAGGACAGTGGACTGGAGATTGCTGGACTGGAGGCAGTAAACACAAAAGTTCTCATTAGTGGGGGTGCTGAACTTCCCCTGACTCCATTCGGAGTTAGCGGGGACTCATTGATTCTGGGAATCATACCCAAAGGATTTTTGGCCCATGTCACCGCCTGCCTGCAGAAATGCTCCTTGTAGATCAGCTTGGCTTAGACTTGTGGGTCAGTGTCCTATATCTTCTAGCCATATGAAAGATATCTTTTGGGGGAAAACAATGTAAATGCCAGGTTTAAACTCCCATCAGTTACTCTGAAATTCCTAAAAAAAAAAAGAAAAGGAGTACTTGTGGCACCTTAGAGACTAACCAATTTATTTGAGCATGAGCTTTCGTGAGCTACAGCTCACTTCATCGGATGCATACCGTGGAAACTGCAGCAGACTTTATATATACATGTATATGTACATGTGTATATATATGTGTATATGTACATGTATATATATGTGTATATGTAAAGTCTGCTGCAGTTTCCACGGTATGCATCCGATGAAGTGAGCTGTAGCTCACGAAAGCTCATGCTCAAATAAATTGGTTAGTCTCTAAGGTGCCACAAGTACTCCTTTTTCTTTTTGCGAATACAGACTAACACGGCTGTTACTCTGAAATCTGAAATTCCTGCCTGTATTTAGTAAATTAAAGCAAGCAAGCCATTAACATCCTTTAGTTATAAGTTTGGGGGTGGGGGAAGTGGGGTTAAAAGTTGAATGACTTTCACTGCACTTTCAAGTGACTTTCTTTTTAAGCTGAAGTTTGGGTGGATTAGTAGACTGAAAGGCAGTGTGGTCTAGTAGATAGAGCACTGGACTGGGAGTCAGGGACCTGGGTTCTTCTAGTCCTTGTTTTATCACTGAACTGCTGTGACTTTAAACAAGTCACTCGCTTTCACCCACCCCCATCTGTCTGTCTAGATTGTAAACTACTGGGGGGGAAGACCATCTTCTACTATGTGTTTGTACAGCATCTAGCATAATGGTCTGAAAGCCTGTAGGGCAGGGGTGGGCAAATTTTTTGGCCCGAGGGCCACATTGGGGAATAGAAATTGTCTGGCGGGCCATGAATGCTCACAAAATTGGGGTTGGGGTACATGCTCTGGGGATGAGGAGTTTCGGATGTAGGAGGGTGCTCTGGGCTGGGACCAAGGGGTACAGAGGGCAGGAGGGGGATCGGGGCTGGGGTGTGGGAAGGGGTGCAGGTTCTGGCGGGGGGGGGTGCAGGCTCTGGGGTGGGGCTGGGGATGAGAGGCTTGGGGTGAAGGAAGGTGCTCCGGGCTGGGATCGAGGGGTTTGGAGAGCAGGAGGGAGACCAGGTCTGGGGCACGGGGTTGGGGCATGGGGAGAGGCTCAGGGATGCAGGCTCCGAGCGGTGCTTACCTCAAGCGGCTTCTGGAAGCAGTCACATGTCCCTTCTCTGGCTCCTTTGCGGAGGTGCGGCCAGGTGGCTCTGCACACTGCCCCATCCACAGGCACTGCCCATGCAGCTCCCATTGGCGCGCCAGAGGGGGCCATTGGAGCGCATAGGAGCTGGAGTGGAGTAGGAGCCGCGTGGTCCGGCCCCTGGCCGGAGTGCCGGAGTAGGGCCGAGTCGTGTGCTGCGGCTCACGGGCCAGCTTAAAACAGCTCGCGGGCCGTAGTTTGCCCATCCCTGCTGTAGGAACTTCTGTAGGGGCTTCACACAGCAGACAGTCAACCTGTGGAACTCCTTGCCTGACGAGGTTGTGAAGGCTAGGACTATAACAGGGTTTAAAAGAGAGCTGGATAAATTCATGGAGGTTAAGTCCATTAATAGCTATTAGCCAGGATGGGTAAGGAATGGTGTCCCTAGCCTCTGTTTGTCAGAGGGTGGCGATGGATGGCAGGAGAGAGAACACTTGATCATTACCTGTTAGATTCATTCCCTCTGGGGTACCTGGAATTGGCCACTGGCAGTAGACAGGATACTGGACTGGATGGACCTTCGGTCTGACCCAGTATGGCTAGTCTTATGTTCTTATTGGGAGATACAAGTTTACTCTTGTACAGTCATACTTTTTCTCTGTTACTAGGGGTCAGTGGTGTTGGCAGTTGAAATGCAAATTTCCACAGTAAACTCCAGGAAAGTATAGTGGTCATTTTTGCGGGGGAAGAGAGATGGCAAGTTTTAAAGAACACTTCCCCACCATTTATTTGCCCACTCCAGAAATACCCTACAGATATGGTATCCCTGTCTGGTTCACAACACAGACTTTGCTTTGGCTGCAGATGCTCTGTTAGTTGTGCATTTCCACCGAATTTATTTCTTTGTAAACTGGTGAATTTCTTCCTTTCAGTAAATGAAAAATCACAATTTTTCATTGTTTAAAAGGAAGTGAAATAAACTCTTGGAGTTAACATTTTAACTTAAGTTTATGATTTTTTTGAATTGGGCATATAAACATGAAAAGATCACTAAGCCCAGGCTCTAGGGGCTATGGAAAGAGAATTAAAAGTGCAATCCAACTAAGGCATGAAACAAAAACCCAACAGCGGTTGAAAAGCAACAGCCTTTCTCCACACAGAAAAGAAGGCAAATCACAACACCTCCATTTCAGCTCCTGTAAAATCCTAACCTCTCCCATCAAATAAATACTCACACCCATACACCTTCCTAGATAGACAGGTTTTCCAGCAGGTTTCAAAAGTCAACACCGTAGGCTATTTTCGACCAGGAAAAGGAGTGAATACCAAATTGGAGGGAACCCCTCCTAGGAAAGTATCCTGCCAGCAGCTCCTAGTATGGGGTACAATTGCAACAAAGACAGCAACTGAATGTGGCTCTGACATGGGTGTGTTAAGTGTCAAAAGCCCTGAACTCACAAGTTTCATGTGGGCAGAGCCTACTGGGATTCTGCGTAGGTGCAGGGATCCTCCCGCGCCCAGCTGCTTGTAGAATCGGGACCTACGTGTGGTATTCAGGCCAGGACTGAGTAATTGGAAGTGGGAAGAGCAGATGGAACAGTAAATGAAAAGTCACATGAACTGTGTTTCATGCAGAAGAATGCTGGTAAGAAAACCCCGCAAACCAACAACTAGTCAATTTCATAACCTTGAAGCTGAACATATATGGTTCCCTCATGCACTTTAATAACTCATCAGCCATAACATACAAGAAAAGAATTGCAGAGAGAACACGATTTGATTAACCAGATGCTGGGGAATTTCAGGCCACCCCTCATTATAATTAAGTGGTGGTTCCCGTTTTCCATTTAAATTTATCCTAAAAAGAATTATTTCCATCTCTAAAATGACTGGTGGGGGGGTGGTTATTTTTTGTTTGTTTATTTTAAAAGATCAAAGTGGACTAATGCACTTGAAAGGTTAATGGCTTTTGGCCATGCCTGCACTGAGGATTTGCCCTGATTGCAGCCATCACTGGCCAGCCACCTGCCTAGCAGCAGCAGTGAAAACCAAGATTATGTCTAGACTGCAGCTGGGAGTGAGCCTCTCAGCCTGGGTACACAGGCTTGAGGCTTGCACAGATGTGGTAAAAATAGCTGCGTGGAGGTTGTGGCCCTGGCGGAGGCTTGGGCTAGCTATCCAAGCTTGAACCCACCCTGACCCTGGGTCCAAGCCCAGGTGGCTAGCCCAGGCCTCTGCTGGTGTAATGGTCTCAAGTTGCAGTGGGGGAGATTTAGGTTGGGATATTAGGAAAAACTTTTTCACTAGGAGGGTGGTGAAACACTGGAATGCGTTACCTAGGGAGGTGGTGGAATCTCCTTCCTTAGAAGTTTTTAAGGTCAGGCTTGACAAAGCCCTGGCTGGGATGATTTAATTGGGGATTGGTCCTGCTTTGAGCAGGGGGTTGGACTAGATGACCTCCTGAGGTCCCTTCCAACCCTGATATTCTATGATTCTATGGTGCTGCAGTGTCCACACTGCCTTTTCTAGCATGTTTGTGCGAGGCTCATTAATACAAGTCTGTCTGCCCAGGCTAGGAGACTTGCTCACCGTTGCAATATAGACATACCTTTCCAGTGCAGGCAGCCAAAGCTGCGCCTATAAACCACAATTTGAAGTAATGCAGTTTAGCTCAGTTTCAAGTAGGGAGTGAACTGCATCAGTGCAAATTATGGCTTCTAGTGGCTTTGCATGTCTGCATTAAGGCTGTGCATCAGTTCAGCTACACCGGTGGTTGAAATCCCCTCTGAAGTTTAGACTTCACTCCTAATGCTGTTGTCTGTACAATGTGCTAGTGTGATAGCTTGTTAAAATAAGTCAGTCTCCACAATGACACTAACATCTGGCTTACTTTTTAGTTTAAAAATACAGGTCAGAAGAGTGAGTAATTAGCTGGGTAGCCTCCCTAGAAACTGTAGGCATGAAGGTGAGGTGGGGGAAGTGATATCTCCCAATTGCTTGCCTTTGAATAGTTATT